TATAAATCGAATAATTTGTAAAACGAAAAACTGGAAAATTAGCAAAAATGAAAAAATGTAAAATTACAAAATAGAAAAATTGGATAATTGTAAACTTGAATTTTTAATAACCTGTAAAAATGAAAAATTGCAAAATTATTACATTTAAAAACCGAAAAAATCGAAAATTTGAAAAATCCATACATTGGAAAATCTGATAATTCAAAAATCAAAAAATGAAAAACTGCCCCATTAAAAACCGGACAACAAACTGAGAAATCAAAAAATTGTAAAATTATAAAAGTAAAAATCAAAAATTTGCAAAATTATAAAACCGAGAAATCGTATAATTTTAAAATTAAAAAGTGAAAACTCAAACAAAAAATAGAAAATAAAAAAATTAGAAAATTGAAAAGTCGAAGAATCGCAAAACTATGAAATCGAAAAATCAAAAACTTGGAAAATTGGAAATCTAAATTTTGAGATATTTCAAATCGAAAAATTCAAAAAATCCACACAATAAATTTCGGATAATTGAAAAATCGAAAATTAAAATATGGAATAACTTTAAAAATGAAAAAGTGTACAATAATTGAACCCAAAAATCAAAAACCTGAAATATTAAAATCGAAATTTTGAACAATTAAAAATCAAAAAATTGCAAAATTACACAACTGAAACATTAGCTAAATGTGAAGACGAAAACTTATTAAAGCGTAAAACTGAAAAACTCAAAAAAACCAAAATTACAAATCGAATAATATTTAAAATCGAAAAATTGGAAAACCAGATAAATTGTAAAATAAAAAAATTACAAAAGTTAAAAATATAAAAACTGCAAAATTATGAAATCCAAAAACTTATAAAATTAACACAATTAAATTTGGATAAATGAAAAATCAAAAATTGCAAACAAAAAATTTTAAAAACAAAGAATTATAAAATTGAAAACTGATTACTTAAAACCCAAATATTTAAGACATCCACAAATTGTTGAAATGTAAAATTGATTAACAAAATGTAGCATCGAAAAACTGAGAAATCCAAAAATTGTAAAATAATAATTCAACTCAAAATTAGAAACTTAAATTTGAAATTTGAAACAATTAAAAATAAAAAAATCAAAAATTTTGAAATTATGTACATAGAAAAATTGAATCATTGGAAACCTGAATATTTTTTAAACTGTGAAAATCAAAAATTGTAAAATTAAAAAATCGAAAAAACTCAGGAATTGGAAAATCTTATAATTGTTAAATAAAAAATTAAAAAACTGATTCATTAAAAACTGGGAACTGAAAAATACAAAAAATGTAAAAATTTAAATGCCAAAATTCAAAAAATTGCAAAATTACTAAACTGAAAATTCGTATAATTTTAAAATTGAAAGACTGAAAATTCAGACAATCGAAAAATCAAAAACTTGGAAAATTGGAACTTTAAATTTTGAGATATTAAAAATCAAAAAATTTAAAAATCGGTAAAATAAAATTCCAATAATTGAAAAATTGAAAATTCAAAAATAGGGTAAGTTAGAAACGAACAATTGTAGAATAATTGAACCGAAAAATTCAAAAACACTAAAATTGAAATTTTGAACAATGAAAAATAAAACAATTGGAAAATTACAAAATTAAAAAATTGCATAATTGTAAAACCGAAAAATTATTAAACTGTAAAACTTAAAAATTGCAAAAATAAAATTAAAATTCGAATAATTTTTAAAACGAAGAACTGGAAAATCAAATAAATGTGAAACAAAAAAATTACAAAAGTTAAAAATATAAATATTGCAAAATTATGAAATCGAATAATTAGAAACTTGAAAAATTTAAAATAGAAGTTTTGAAAAATTAAAAGTCAAAAAATTGGAAAATTAAAATAATGAAAGTGGGATGAGTGAAAAATCAAAAATTAAATAACTGCAAATACGAAAAATTTTAAAAACGGAGAATTATAAAATTGAAAACTAATTAATTAAAACCCAAATATTTAACACAAAATGTAAAATTGATCAAGTAAAGTGTAGAATCGAACAACTGAAAAATCGGATTCCTTTAAAATCGAAAAATTGTAAAATAATTAACCTGAAAATCGGAAACTTAAAATTGAAATTTTAAAAATTAAAAAAATTAAAATTTTAAAATTACATAGAAAAATTAGATTTCTTAAATTGTAACAATAAAAAATGCAAGATTATAAAATCGAAAAGTCAAAAACTTAGAAAATTGGGAATTTAAATTTTGAAATATTAAAAATCAAAAAATCGAAATCAAAATCCCTTTAAAAAATGTAAAGGTCAAAAACCTGAAACAAGAAAATAGCAATTTTAAAAAATGAAAAATCAAAAAATCAAAAATTCCAAAATTACAAAATTGAAAAATTGGATAATTGTAAAATCGAAAAATTATTAAATTGTAAAACTGAAATTTGAAAAAACAAAATTATAAATCGAATAATTTGTAAAACGAAAAACTGGAAAATTAACAAAAATGAAAAAATGTAAAATTACAAAATAGAAAAATTGGATAATTGTAAACTTGAATTTTTAATAATAACCTGTAAAAATGAAAAATTGCAAAATTATTACATTTAAAAACCGAAAAAATCGAAAATTTTAAAAATCTATACATTGGAAAATCTGATAATTCAAAAATCAAAAAATGAAAAACTGCCCCATTAAAAACCGAACAACAAACTGAGAAATCAAAAAATTGTAAAAATATAAAAGTAAAAATCAAAAATTTGCAAAATTATAAAACCGAGAAGTCGTATAATTTTAAAATTAAAAAGTGAAAACTCTAACAATAAATAGAAAATAAAAAAATTAGAAAATTGAAAAGTCGAAGAATCGCAAAACTATGAAATCGAAAAATCAAAAACTTGGAAAATTGGAAATCTAAATTTTGAGATATTTCAAATCGAAAAATTCAAAAAATCCACACAATAAATTTCGGATAATTGAAAAATCGAAAATTAAAATATGGAATAACTTTAAAAATGAAAAAGTGTACAATAATTGAACCCAAAAATCAAAAACCTGAAATATTAAAATCGAAATTTTGAACAATTAAAAATACAAAAATTGCAAAATTACACAACTGAAACATTAGCTAAATGTGAAAACGAAAAACTGAAAAACTCCAAAAATTGTAAAATAATAATTAAACTCAAAATTAGAAACTTAAATTTGAAATTTGAAACAATTAAAAACAAAAAAATCAAAAATTTAGAAATTATGTACATAGAAAAATTGAATCATTGGAAACCTGAATATTTTTTAAACTGTGAAAATCAAAAATTGTAAAATTAAAAAATCGAAAAAACTCAGGAATTGAAAAATCCATACATTGGAAAATCTTATAATTGTTAAATAAAAAATTAAAAAACTGATTCATTAAAAACTGGGAACTGAAAAATACAGAAATTGTAAAAATTTAAATGCCAAAATTCAAAAAATTGCAAAATTACTAAACTGAAAATTCGTATAATTTTAAAACTGAAAGACTAAAAATTCAGACAATAGTAAAATTAAAAAAATTACAAATTGAAAAATCGAAAAATTGCAGAATTATAACATCGAAAAATGAAAAAATTGGAAAATTAAAACAATTAAATTGGGATCAGCGAAAAATCAAAAATTGAATAACTGCAAATACGAAAAATTTTAAAAACGGAGAATTATAAGATTGAAAACTGATTAATTAAAACCCAAATATTTAACACAAAATGTAAAATTGATCAAGTAAAGTATAGAATCGAATAACTGAAAAATCGGATGCCTTTAAAATCGAAAAATTGTAAAATAATTAACCTAAAAAATCAGAAACTTAAAATTGAAATTTTTAGCAATTAAAAATAAAAAAAAATACAAATTTAAAATTACATAGAAAAGTTGGATTTATTAAACTGTAACAATAAAAAATTGCAAGATTATAAAATCGAAGAGCCGAAAATTGAAATATCCTGACATTGGAACGTTTTATAATTGAAAAATAAAAAAGAAAAACTAATTCATTAAAAACTGAAAAATCTCAAAATTGCAAAATTATGAAATCGAAAAGTCAAAAACCTGGAAAATTGGGAATTTTAATTTTGAAGTATTAAAAATCGAAAATTTAAAAATCTGATATCTTTAAAACGAAAAATTGTAGAATAATTGAACCGAAAAATCGAAAACTTGCAACACTAAAATTGAATTTTGGAACAATCAGAAAATTGAAAAATTGTTAAATTAGCAATACTAAACTGTAAAAATAAAAAATTACATAATGATAAAATCAAAAAATTATAAAATCGACCACACTCAGTTTTTTTCCTGAAAACAGTAATAAATCTGTAAAATGACGGAAAAATTTTGATTGACGATTTACCATGCTTCCAATAACCTTTAAAAGTTGTAAAATACTGTTATAAAATTTTAATTTTTTTCCAAAAACCTGTCTGTCAAGACGGATTCATGGACCACGTAATATCGCCGAATGACTTGATACAGGTCAGTCAGTCATTCTAGCCAAAAAAAAGAAAAAGGCATGACCCACTCAGGTCCAAAAACATCGTGGATAAACTCTATCAATGTCACAGTGACACAAAATAGCTTCCCATTTTTTAGTATTCATTATTAATGTTATCAATAAAAAATGGGTGAACATTCAAATAAAACCCACTTTTTTCGGGCCTCCAACTTTCCCGATTCCCCAAAAAAGCTCCAACACCTGTTCAATTATATCGTCTCATCGTTATCGCCTGAAACCGCCGGTCTCCCGACGGGCCAAAGTCCGCCGTGTTCCCCGGTGTCATCATAATACCAAACATTACACATTTTGTCAAAACAAACTCGCAAACATAAATATCTGGCGTCTCCTCGTGGGCAACTCCACCGGAACGAGCATGACAGATCTCGTGTGGCGGTCGAGAGAGGGGGCAGGATCACGCCACCGAACCGCCAAATCACCATTGCCCGCGAACTACAAAGGTATCGCGTGATATCGGAACCAGCAAGACCATGCGTTGCACCGGTGCCACCGGACTCAGTATCGACGATGCTTTAGTTGCGATCTTTGGACTTTGCCTGCGCTTACCGCAAATTTTTCCTTCTAATCGGAACATCCATCAAACTTGAACGTCGTATAAAAGCCGACGCCGGCTAATCGAAAGCAGTTGGAAAACGACCGCGAACTTGAACAATATTGTTTAATAATTGTCGCGTGGCATTCGTTTAAATTTGTGATTACGTGTTTCGGACCGGTTAAAGTGACGGTGCCTAGAAAATCTGGGAAAGTTCAGAGCGTGAGGCAAGGATATTATGTAAGTGTTTTTGCAATATTGCACAGCGATCGCAACATTTTTTTTTGGTCTAATTTTCACTTTTTTTTTGTTGTTCGTGGAAAGTTCAAACGATCTTCATAAACAATGGGAACATTTCACGCTTTGTCAAAAATCGATTATTTTCGCGACATTATTTGATTGCGGAAATTTGGAATTCATTTGATGGTAAACTATTCAAAAAATTCAAACATTGACTGCATTAAAATTTGTTCAAAATAATAATAAAATAAATACGCTTTGTTCGGCCTTCAGAATTGTTAAACATTACTTTCGCACATTTTTGAAAAATGTTTCATTACTTGAAACAATAAAATTTTGTGCCGTAAAACTGCCCATCAACCAATGAAGTTAGTCCACACCACATTCGACATTTTTTTTATTACCAATAATGCATTTTTAAACTCCGGATAAGAAAATTTTATGGGTCAAAAATTCAAATACACACCATTTCCAGATAACGAAACAGTCTATATAAACCTGTTTGTGCTACTGACAACTTATTCGGTAGAAACAGTTTGTAAAATTCACACTGTGGTAAAAGAAAAGTTTAATCACTCGGGTTAAAACTGGCCAAAATTACTTTCATTTGAAGACATATTACACTTATACAGGGTGAGTTACTAAACGCACGTTCCTCGATATATTTTTATATATTTTGATTGACCTCTTCTTAGACTTTACAACCACAATTGTCGATTTATAATAATTAATTGAAACAAGCATTGTGCGTCCGTAGTATCCTGTTGTGAACGACAATTTGTTACTAAAAATAAATAAACAAATAAAACTGAGTGTGAAACTATAATTTACTACTCGATACAAAAATACCGCGATAAATCAATCATATTTATTCACAATCGATTCAAATGAATAGTTAATGATTCAATTACCTGTTAGATAACTAGTGCAGTTTCAAGGTTTCAAGTACCATCACTTCCACGTCTTGGTACAATTCCACTTTGCAACTTAAGTTAGCATACGTCAGCTGTCACTAATCTGACACTCCTTTCCAGAACTTCGAACCATGGCCCCTAACATTTCCATCCCAACTGGAGTTCTCCACGAAACCGATGACGAAATCTCTGCGAGAAACATCCCTCAAGACATCAGCAAACCCGACGATCGCAAACTGAAGCTAGTTTGGCGAAACATCATTCTGTTTGCTTATCTTCACTTAGCTGCGTTGTACGGAATATGGCTTATGTTTACTTCTGCTAAACTAGTGACCAGTATTGTTGGTAAGATTGTCACAATTCCATTTGGTTTGACGCTTTAATAACTGTGTTATGTCTTTAGCGATTTTGCTGTACCAACTGGGAGGCTTTGGTATCACCGCCGGCGCCCACCGCCTCTGGGCCCACCGCTCCTACAAAGCCAAGTGGCCCCTGCGTCTCATCCTCACCATCTGCAACACTCTCGCTTTTGAGGACTCCGTCATCGACTGGGCGCGAGACCACCGAGTCCACCACAAGTTCAGCGAGACCGACGCCGACCCTCACAACGCCAAACGCGGCTTCTTCTTCTCGCACGTCGGGTGGTTGCTGTGCCGCAAGCACCCCCAGGTCCGGGAAAAGGGCAAGCAAATCGACCTGTCGGACCTGTATGCTGACCCGATTTTGCGCTACCAGAAGAAGTACTACAAGATCGTGATGCCTCTGGTGTCCTTCGTGCTACCTACCGTCATCCCGATGTACTTCTGGGGTGAGACGTTCAAGAACGCCTTCTTCGTCAATCTGTTCCGGTACTGCCTCACTCTCAACGCTACGTGGCTGGTGAACTCGGCGGCCCATATGTGGGGCGACAAACCCTATGATAAGTTCATCAACCCGGCTGAGAATCTGGCGGTGGCGGTGTTGGCGCTGGGTGAGGGCTGGCACAACTACCATCACACGTTCCCGTGGGACTACAAGACGGCGGAGTTGGGGAAATACAGCGTGAATTTCTCGGCGGCGTTTATCGACTTCTTTGCCAAGATTGGGTGGGCGTATGATTTGAAGACGGTGTCGAATGAGATGGTGAAGAAGAGGGTGGAGAGGACGGGGGATGGGTCCCACGAGATTTGGGGGTGGGGGGATAAGGATCAGTCGAAGGAGGATTATGAAGATGTTATCATTAAGTATAGGAAGGACTTGTAAGTGAAGAATTGATTGTTCTTGGTTGTGGGGGTGACTTATGAGACTGATTACCTTTGTAAGTAATTTATTACCGATTGTTGCAGTGATTGAATTGTTTTTGTATATTTATAGGTAGGTCATGTTTGATAATAACATGTAAAGTAGGTTCTAGTTATTCGTACTAAGTGGTATATGGGTTTTAGTACCGGTAACTAGATACACAATCAGGTGATATAGATTTGTGAATCTATTAACATAGATATTTTTTAACTTAATTCGTTTGCTTAGACTTAAGTTTTTTATAACAGTGTGACAGTGAAGCATATAATTAATAAACGATGAAGTTCAACACTACATTCTCGTCTAAATGTTTACCCTATTCCTAGAAGATACAAAGTAGATCTGACTTGAGTTGTGTTTTGTACAACATGGACATAAGGTTCCAAAGTTGGTACACAAAAATAAGATTTAGCTCCCAACAAACAGACTAAAGTTTTTTCTATTTTTGGTCAAGGACTACGAATTAGCTTATTAGGCATTCGTTCACGATTTGTACAATTGCGTGCATATCAGTTGTAAATTCTAATTTAACCTCTGATTTCAAAATGTATTAATGTTGTGTTGCAGCGCTGACACTATTGCATTTTTTAAAACAGAAAGACCATGAACTAAAAAAATATCAAACGCGATTATTACATTTTTAAAAAATATACGATCAAATTATTTCGTGTTGGTTTTACAAAAACTATTGAAACTAAATCAATCCAAAATTTTGATTGAATCAGTAACTATTTTGATAAGGATTGTTTTTATTAAGTTCCACCAACACTGTACTTACCAGAAAAATACAAATAACAACGTTACAAAGGTAAAATAAATAAAACTGAACTGAAAATTATTATTATAGGATTGTATATGCAACCAGTTATACATCTCGGTCCAGACAAATACAGCTTCATTCGATGAATGTCAAATAGATAAATGTTATACTCGCACAAGAGATGTAGTGATTTTACGACTTTGACTCCTTCGCTACTCTTGTCAACGAATAATGCAGCTTATTATGTGCAATTATCACAACCTCCTAAGCTTCCAAACAGTCTCTTTCATGGATTTGGCTGACACGCTTCTTCTAAACGCCACCGGCTTATGAGTTTAATATGCTTTTTGTTCATAGACGATGGGGTTAAAATAGTCAAAATCATCAAATCACTATATCTCTTGTGCCAGTATACTTGCAATCGAGCACTAGATTCATTATAGACCCTTAAAAAAAGTGTCTGACCAAGAAAGCCATTTTATATCACGCGCGTGATTTGCGTGAGATAAGGTGACTTGGCAACAGCATTCGTTTTTTAGAAGGTATGTCATTTGCCAAAATCAATCTTATCTTATCAGATATTAGCCCCGCCCACCCACCCTCTATTTTATTAGAGCAGAATATGTCATTTGCCAAAATCAGTCTTATCTTAGCAAGTACTAGCCCCGCCCACCCACCCTCTGTTTTCTTAGAGGGTATGTCATTTGCCTAAATTAGTCTTATCTTATCAAATAGAAGCCCGCCCACCTACCCAAAATTTTGTAGAATTCTTAAAAAGGCACCATGGGCCATCGAAATTCTGTGGAATTCTTTAAAACAAACACTAGGCGTCAGTGAAATGACAAAAGTTACCAAGGGCCCTCGAAATTCTGCAGAATCCTTAAAAATTCACTTGATTCTTCGCAATTCTGTAGAATTCGTTAAAAAAGATACTGGGGGCCCTCAGATTTTGCAGAATTCTTAGAAAGTTATTGATATAAAAAAGTCACGAAGGGCCCTCGAAGCTCTATAAAATCCCTAAAACTCCACTAGATTTTTCGAAATTCTGTAGAATTCGTTAAAAAAACACTAGGGGCCCCCGAGATTTTGCAAAATCCTTAGAAAGATACTAGAAGCCCTGGAGATTCTGTAGAATTCTTTAAAAAAATACTAGGGCCGCTGAAATAAAAAAAGTCTCCAAGGGCCCTCGAAATTCTGCAGAACAATTCACTAGATTCTTCTAAACTCCATAGAATTCGTTAAAAAAAACACAAGGGGTCCTCAAGATTTTGTAGAATTCTTAGAAAGATGCTAGGGGCCCTGCAAATTTTGTAGAATTCTTTAAAAAGATATTAGATGCCTCTGACATAAAAAAAGTTACCAAGGGTCTTCAAAATTCTGTAGAATTCTTAAAAAAAACTAGGGCCGTACGGTATTCTGTATAATTCTTATAAAGCACACTAGGAGCCTTTGAAAATCTGTAGAATTCTTTCAAATAGACACTCTAGCGACCAGTGAAATTAAAAGTCACTAAGAGTGCTAGAAATTTTGTAGAATCCCTAAAAATTCACTGGATTCTTCGAAATTCTGTAGAATTTGTTAAAAAAACACTAGGGGCCCTGTATATTTTGCAGAATTCTTAGAAAGATACACTAGGTGCCCTGTAAATTCTGTAGAATTCTTTCAAAATATACTAGGGGCCACTGAAAAAAAAAGATTACCAAGGACCCTCGAAATTCTGTAGCATCCCTAAAAATTCACTGGATTCTTCCAACTTCTGTAGAATTCTTTAAAAAGTCTCTAGCCCCTTCCTTCTCAAATCTGTAAACTTTTAAAAACACTAAGTGCCTCCGAAAATCTGTAGAATTCTTTGAAACAGAAACTAGGGGCCTTAGAGATTCTGCAGAATGATTAAAAAAGACAAAAAGAGCCGCCAAAACTTCAAAATTCTGTAGAATTCCTTTAAAAAGATCCTGAGCGTCCTGGAGACTTTGCAGAATTCTTAGAAAGATACTAGGGGCCATTGTAATTAAAAAGTCACCAAGGGCCCTCAAAATTCTATAAAATCCCTAAAAATTCACTATATTTTTCGAAATTTTGTAGAATTCGTTAAAAAGACACTTGGGACCCTCGAGATTTTGCAGAACCCTTAAAAAGATACTAAAAGCCCTGGAAATTCTGTAGAATTCTTAAAAAAAAAATACTAGGGCCGCTGAAATAAAAAAAAGTCTCCAAGGGTCCTCGAAATTCTGCAGAATCCGTAAAAATTCACCACATTCTTCGAAATTCTATAGAATTCGTTATAAAAGACAAAAGGTGTCCTCGAGATTTTGTAGACTTCTTATAAAGATACTAGGGGCCCTGCAAATTTTGCAGAATTCTTTAAAAAGATATTAGGGGCCTCTGAAATAAAAAAAGTCACCAAGGGTCTTCGAAATTCTGTAGAATTCTAAAAAAAGCCACCAACCCCTCCCTTCTCAAATCTGTAAATTTTTAAATACGCAAAGTGCTTCCGAAATTCGGTAGAAAAAGAAATTAGTGCCCTCCGATATTCTGTATAATTCTTAAAAAGGACACTAGGGGCCCTTGAAAATCTGTAGAATTCTTTAAAACAGACACTAGGGACCAGTGAAATTAAAAACGTCACTAAGGGTCCTCGAAATTCTGTAGAATCCCTAAAAATTCACTGGACTCTTTGAAATTCTGTAGAATTTGTTAAAAAAGACACTAGGGACCCTCTATATTTTGCAGAATTCTTAGAAAGGTACACTAGGTGCCCTGTAAATTCTGTAAAATTCTTTCAAAAGCTAAAAAAAAGATTACCAAGAACCCTCGAAATTCTGTAGCATCCCTAAAAATTCACTGGATTCTTCCAAGTTCTGTAGAATTCTTAAAAAAGTCTCTAGCCCCTTCCTTCTCAAATCTGTAAATCTTTAAAGACACTATGTGACTCTGAAAATCTGTAGAATTCTTTAAAACAGATACTAGGGGCCTTAGAGATTTTGCAGAATGATTAAAAAAGACAAAAAGAGCCGCCAAAATTTTGTAGAATTCTTAAAACCGAAATTCTGTAGAATTAAAAAATGCACTAGGGATCCTTGAGAGTTTGCAGAATTCTTAGAAATTCAATTATCAAAGAAAATTCTGTAGAATTCTTTAAAACAGACACTACTGGCCAGTGAAATTAAAAAAGTCACTAACGGTCCTCGAAATTTTATAGAATCCCTAAAAATTCACAGAAATCTTCGAAATTCTATAGAATTCGTTAAAAAAGACACTAGGGCCCTCCAGATTTTGCAGAATTCTTAGAAAGATACTAGGGGCCCTAGGAATTCTGTAGAATTCTTTAAAAAGATACTAGGGGCCACTAAAATGAAAAAAGTCACCAAAGCCCCTCGAAATTCTGTAGAATCCCTAAAAATTTACTGGATTCTTCGAAATTCTGTAGAATTCTTAAAAAGAGAGAGTAACTCCTCCCCTCTCAAATCTGTAAATATTTAAAGTCACTAAGTGCCTCCGAAAATCTGTAGAATTCTATAAAAAAAGAAACTAAGGTCCCCCAAAATTGTGTATAATTCTTAAAAAAGACTCTAGGGGCCCTAAAATTCTGTGGAATTCTTTCAAAAAGAGACTAGGGGCCCTCGAGATTTTGCAGAATCCTTAGAAGTATACTAAAAGCCCTGGAAATTCTGTAGAATTCTTAAAAAAAATACTAGGGCCGCTGAAATAAAAAAAAGTCTCCAAGGCTCCTCGAACTTCTGCAGAATCCGAAAAAATTCACTAGATTCTTCTAAATTCCATTGAATATAGAATTCGTTAAAAAAGACACAAGGGGTCCTCGAGATTTTGTAGAATTCTCAGAAAGATACTAGACGGGCCCTGCAAATTTTGTAGAATTCTTTAAAAAGATATTAGAGGCCTCTGAAATAAAAAAAGTCACCAAGGCTCTTCGAAATTTTGTAGAATTCTTAAAAACCCACTAACGGCTTCCTTTTCAAATCTTTAAATTTTTAAAGACGCTAAGTGCTTTCGAAATTCTGTAGAATTCTTTAAACAAAGAAGCTCGGCCCTCCGGTATTCTGTATAATTCTTAAAATTTGGGACCCTTGAAAATCTGTATAATTCTTTAAAACAGACATTAGGGACCAGTGAAATTAAAAAAGTCACTAAGGGTCCTCGAAATTTTGAAAACTGGAAAATCAGATAAATGTAAAACAAAAAAAAAATTAAAATTAAAAATTGAAAAACTACAAAACTATGAAACTTGAACAAATTGGAAAGTCAAAACAATGAAATTTAATTAAGTGAAAAATCAAAAATTCAGTAACTGCAAACACGAAAAATTTTTAAAACGAAGAATTATAAAATTGAAAATTTTACCTTTAAAATTGAAAAATTGTAAAATAATTAAACGGAAAGATCAAAAATTTTAAATTAAAATTTTGAACAATTAAAAACAAAAAAAAATTAAACTTGTAAAATTACAAAATAGAAAAATTAGATAATTGTAAACTTGAAAATTGATGAAACTGTAAAATTGAAAAATTACAAAATT